TGGGGCCCGCGGTGTCGTCGGGCTGTGCCTGGGGGCATCTGCCGGCGGAGGGCCTGGGCCGGGTCAGAACGTGCTGCGCCTGGGGCGTGCGGGCGGCCGGCGTGCCTGCCAGGCGGAGGGCGCTGACCGCGGCCTTTTGCAGGTTATTGGAAGACTACGTCACAGCCATCGAAGGCGTGAAAGCACACCTGCTGCGGCGCTCTGAGCCTGGCAAGCTCACCTTCGTGGGGGAGCTCGCGCACGGCCGCTTCAGCGCCAAGATGGTGAGTGTGCGGGGGCGCGGGCCGGCCTCTTCCCACGGCTCCCGAGCTTCCCACGGCTGCACGTTGGAAAGGCGGCGAAGTCCGGCCGGAGCCTGTGAGTGGAGGTCACCAGCCGGCCGGCCTGGCCTGTCCCGTGACGGCTCAGCCAGCTGAGGCCTTTCGTCAGGCTCTGGGTGGACGTGGGCTCGCAGGGCCAGCTCCCCCAGGCTCGCTCTGGAACGTGCTCACCCGCAGCCAGTGCCCGGAAGGGGTCTGTGGGGCAGGCTGGGGCGTCCCCTGAAGAGCCTGACCCGGCTCTGCTGCTGCCCTGGTCTGGACACGGGTCCCTCCTAGGGATGCCGGGCCCCACGCTGGCTGCCTGTGCAGCTGCAGGCTGAGCGCGCGGGCCTGGGGTCTGGGGCTGAGGGGACCCTGTGATTCCAGGACCACCTGGTGTGCTTCCTGCCAGGGACGCTGGCTCTGGGCGTCCACCACGGCCTGCCCGCCAGCCACATGGAGCTGGCCCAGCAGCTCATGGAGACGTGCTACCAGATGAACCGGCAGATGGACACAGGCCTGAGCCCCGAGATCGTGCACTTCAACTTGTACCCCCAGCCGGGCCGTCAGGACGTGGAGGTCAAGGTGGGTGGGGCCTGGCCGGGCTGTGGGGCCGGCCCCCAGCCTCTTCTCTACGCCAGCTGGGCTGTCAGGGCGGAGGCCGAGGGGCCAGGCCAGTGGGGAGGGTGGCCATGGCTGCACTGACCTCTCCCCTCCCCGCCCCAGCCAGCTGACAGGCACAACCTGCTGCGGCCGGAGACGGTGGAGAGCCTGTTCTACCTTTTCCGCCTCACGGGGGACCGCAAGTACCAGGACTGGGGCTGGGAGATTCTGCAGAGCTTCAACCGGTTCACGCGGGTGAGCAGGCCAGCCAGGGCCTCCGCCAGGTGTGGAGCAGGCGGCTCTGTGCGTCGCCAGCTGGGCTCGCAGGTGGGCTCGGCAGAATCCCAGCTGCCTGCCTGCCGGCCCTGGCCGTACTCCTTCCCAGGGGCGGGCTCTCGGTGTGGGGGCGGGCGCAGCCCCAGGTGTGACCAGGCCTCGGCCCTTGGGCAGGTCCCCACAGGTGGCTACTCCTCCATCAACAACGTCCGCAGCCCCCAGAAGCCTGAGCCCAGGGACAAGATGGAGAGCTTCTTCCTGGGGGAGACGCTCAAGTACCTGTTCCTGCTGTTCTCTGATGACCCGGCCCTGCTCAGCCTGGACACCTACGTGTTCAACACCGAGGCCCACCCCCTGCCCATCTGGACCCCCGCCTAGGGGCGGCCTGGCCAGGGACGGCTTGGCCGGGCTGCCCGGTGGGCTGACGCCTCCCGGGGGCCCGGTGGCATCGGACAGCCGTGGGCATCCTGGGCTCCCTGTCTGCCCTCATCAGGACGCTTGGGACCAGGTGTGGGTCAGGGTGCGTGCCCCGAGAAACCGCGAATCGTGACTCAGTTCCTGGAACTCTGCCGTCCCGTTACTGGTGGCCATGGGGAGCATCGGGGTGGGCCCGGGCCCCTTCACCTGGGCAGCTCGGGACCGCAGAGCTCAGGGCGCGTTCAGAGGAGCCGTGAGGACAGCCCGGAGTGCAGCTCTCCCGGCCCTCGGCCTCAGCATCCCTAGCCCAAGTGTGGCACTCAGGGGCCACGACGTCCTGGCCGAGGTCTCGCGGGGCCACTGAGGCTGCCGGGCCGAGGCCCAGGGCCGGCTCTCATGTTTACATGTCGGACTCAGGGATCCTCCTGGCTGCCCGCAGGGACTCGGAGGGCCAGGATGGCAGCTCCCCGGCTGTAGCCCCCCGGGGGAGTGGGTCTCGCCAGGCCAGAGTAAAGCCGAGTTGCCCTGGTCGGGATCTCCTGCGTCGCGAAGGGATCTGGGAGTGGACGGTCTGGTGGAGGGGGCGCCCGGGGCTGCGTCACAGAATCAGTTCACTGAGGCCAGGACCCCTGCTGTCCTCTGCGGGCAGGCGGGAGACTCGGCAGCCATGGCAGGGAGGCGCGTGAGTGCGTCGGCAG